TCTTTGGAAGTATGAGGGAGTCTATCATTATCCTCAAGACTGGAATTTACATCTAACAATTCTGACTTGATGGGAACATCCGTGGTAATATTTTCTCTGGTTTCATGATTGACAAAGTGCCTTTTTTCTTCATCGTCTGATCCTTTCATTATTGCTTCAGATGGTGATAGATCTTCTTTTGCTGGGACTTCGAGAGTTGTCTCATAAATTAAACCGGATTTAGCAGCATCAAAGAATGACACTCTTTCTTGTATATTTGGATCAAAAATTGTACCAATATTTTCATCTATGAGAAATAAGTCAAACGCTTTTTGAAGTGTGTAAGCTTCCTTCAAGCTTTCCGAATTTCTTATCCTCAGTTTTTCAGGATAAAAATATGTATCGTCTGTAATTAGATTTTTAAACTGTGCTGGCTCACTTGAGTTAGGATCTAGGAATTTCTGGGAGGCTAAACAGTACAAATTACGAGAGGCTAACACTTGAGGAGTCAAGCTCTTTGTAATATTGATTTTATTTAAGGAAGAATTTTTCATATCAGTCAATTTGTTAGAAACGTCCTCGCTAGCTACTGTTGGCATCAAACCATCAGCATCCCTGCATGAGTCAGACAACTGGTTGACCACCAATTCACTAGGATTTGTTTTAACTCTATCCGGTTTCACATCTTCCTTTGACAGTGTGGTGTTACAAAGAGTTTCAATTTTTGCATTCTTACTTGGAGACTTAGATTTCTTTTTTTTCAAATCTCTAACGGAATCGAACACAAATTTCCCCGCTAGAATAGGGGCACCAACAAAGGCCATGAGCCCCAACTTCGCAGCATCCTTGACACTGATATTTTTCCCTTCTTTACTGCTTTTAATCTTTCCAGTTTTCCGATCAAGTATGCCTTTTTTGATGCCCTCATCGATTGAAATAGATGTACCACTTTCAAAATCAAAAAGCTGACAGCTCGGATCAATGATTCGCTCGTTGACTGCCTCTTCAAACGTTAAATGCCTGTTTTCAACCTTTGGGTCTATGAATGTCTCCGTTTCCTGATCATAAATTGACTCAAAAGCCTCCACAATGTTCAACCCTTCTTTTTCATTTGACTCTCCTGGATTAACTGAGATAAGATCTAATAATCCTTCTTTGATAGCATCTTGGATTGGCAGCTTCTTTCCTTCATCATCTAAAAAAACTCCTTCATTGACATCAACCCGATTTAACTCAAGCGCATCTTTGAAAGTCATGGCAGATTTGACTGGGATCTGACTTTTGCCAATTCCTTTTTCATAATTTTCATTCAAGGGTATAATTTTTCCTGATTTGACATTCTTTGCTTCGTCAGCACCAACTACATGACTGTCTTCCAATTCCAGAACAGTCGTAGTCTCGGGTGTAGGAGTGGTTACTAATTCTGTAATAGAGGACAAATCTTCAGGGGAATTTTTTGTTTTTAGAGGATCAGACTGTGATTCAACGGGCACTGGGACTAATTCCTGAGATTTTGAATCATGGAAAAGACCGGTTTTAACATCTTTTAATTTGCTATCTGCAGCTTTAAAATCATCAGTGCCACTTGGACAAGAATTAGTTGAAATATTCATGATGGAATTCTCCTGAATTTCTACGTCTGAGGGTTTGTTTGAGTCAGTCAATGGATTAATGGTTTCTTTTGTTCCTGCATCAGTTAATCCTCTCTTGAAAACAACAGGAGAGGTAGTACTAACTAAAGGCACTTCAGTCAAAATTTGTGTGTCAGTCTTTATGAAAACGTCTTTTTTGAAAGCATCAATGAAATCAATACAGCCATCATGTGTCTGAACCGTGTTCATGTCTTCATTGATACACCCACTGAGAATCGCTTCTTCAAGTGTCACCATTTCCCCTGTTTTTGGCTCTATCAGCTGCGACTCGGAATCAACAATTCCAGAAACAATTGCTTCCTTGAGTGACAACTGTCTCCTGGTTTCAGGGTGAACAATTTTCCCGTTTTCATATAAACCACGTTCAAAGACAGCAGGAATAGACAAACTTTGGACAACTGGAATGAGAAATTGGCCTGGACTGCTTGAGGAATCAAGAATTCCTCGCTTCATGGCTTCCTTAATTGATAAGATGTCACCCATCAAGGGGTCTTTGATCGCACCAGATTCACCATCTACCTTATTTAAGCTGACAGCTTCAGATAAAGACAGTTTTTGGCCTTCTCTAATGAAATTATCACTGTTCGTCAACATTTTGGCAGTTTCCTCATCAGTAACACCCATTTTGACCGCATCGCTTGGACTGACAATTTTCCTTCTCATTTTTTGTAAAATCACAGGTTTAGCAGACAGTAAATCTGCAGATTGAGCTTGAGACACACCTATAGGGGTTTGGAAATTAGGTTCTGTTGTTAAACGACTCCGTGTTAGCTCTGAATCAATATCTCCACCTGAGGAAAACGATGGTCCTTCCGTTTTAGGCATCACTTTAGGAGCTTTCTCTGCTTGCCATGCTTCTTCTATAAGAGAGTCACCACCAATTTTACAATCCATAACAGGGTCTATTTTAGAACATGATGTGGCTTTATGTTCTATTCCAGGATTAATCAAGGGATTAATTTTTTCCTGACTACTTTCATCTGCTTTTCTTGTAGAAAGAGGAAAATTGCTCAATACATCTGCACTTATTGACTCAGCTTGACCTTGATCACCTCTGTTATCTGGATAAGATGTTCCTACGCTCATGGATTCGTTGCTATCTCTTTTGCTCTCATTATTTGTTGAAGGTAGAGCATGAGGTAAAACAATAGCGGCAGCAGTTATTAGTCCTAGCTTCACGGCATCTGAAAATTTAACTTTCTTTCCATTATCATCATACTCTCCTGAGGACTTGTTTAAGACGCCTTGCTTCAGAGCATCTTTGATGGTTATTTCTAATCCTGAAACTGGATCCTTGACTTTCACACTACCGGGACTGAGGTTACCTTTATTTAGGCACTCAATAATATCATTGAATGATCTGTTCAATGGGTTGATCTGATCTGGTTCCGACTGATCAAAACCATCGGTAATTTCTTTACTTGTATGCTGCCAAGCTTGTTGCTGAGATTTTGATGCATCTATTTCAGTCTTAGTTAAAAATATGATTAAATTTTTATCAATTGCTTCTTTCATTGTTATTTTGGTACCGTCTGGATAAAAGAAGTGCCCCACGGAATCGAGGAAATGTTTTTCTATTCCCCGCAACAGAGGTACATTTTGAGATTTTTTAAGATCTACCACGAGGGCAGAGAGTGGGTTAATAATTTCTAAATTTAAACATTCCTCGAAGGATACTAATCGATCTGTCCCTGGCACTGTTAGTAAGCCACATTCAGGGTCAAAGAGACCTTCCGCAATGACATCTGCAAGAAGCCATCCATCTGGAGGCATCTCTACAGAATTTTTCTCTGGCCTCTCTTTGGAGTCTCTTGAATCTAACCGCGGCTTTTTACATGTACTATCACAAATACTGTCATCACTGGAACGTCGTGAACTGGAACTAAGTTGAGGTGTTAATTTGGGACTTTGGTAGCTGGGCTCAGCTTTCGTTGGAGAAAAACTGGCGAAATCCAAAACCTTATTGAGTGTTTTCTTCGAAATCTTCCTGGAGTTGAATTCTTTCGGAACATGCTCCCTCATGAGCATTGATGCATCCAAGTCAGTGATCAGTCCTTGTTCCAGAGCGACTTCCAGAGGTATCTGCTCATTTGTACTGGGGTGAGTAAATATTTTGGCACTATCATCAATTAGACCTGCAGAAACTGCAGTGTCATACGAGTATGTCGATTCTGGAATGCAAATTGTTGTTGAGTATTTCTTAACTACTTTTGCAACGGTTTGCGTGGTTAACGTTATACTTAAAAAGCTGTTCAATATAGATGCACCTTCTTTGGAAATTAAATTTTGACTTACTGCTGTTTCTAAGGGAACCAATTTTTTCGTCACTGGATCAATGAGCTGACCTGCTTTTGGGTCAATTAAGTTCCTGATGACGCATTCGAAGACTGTTAGTTCTTCTCCGCCTTGTGCAAAGATGCCAATTTTTTTGTTTAACATGTCTGCTACTTCTGAGCGTATCAAATTTTGAGCAGTTGCCTCCTGTATACTTATCGTTCTCCCAGATTGGGGATCAGATAGGTATAGTCCATCTTCTGTTATGAGTCCTTTATTCAAAGCAGAATTAAGACTCACAAAACTTTCTGAATCATTTTCTTTGAAAGCATCGATATCAAATAAGCACTTGACAGAAACCGAAGCAAGCAAACCCCGCTCAGAACTCTCTTTCAAAGACATAATTTCATTTGACTTTTTGTCGACAAATTTACAATCTAATGTTATGATCCCATTGGCAAGAGCCTCTGTTAGAGTAAGTAATTTATCAGTCCGCGTATCACAAATCGATCTGGCCTCTTCAGCATCCAACACTCCAGAGGCGATAGCATCCAAAAGGGTTAAACTGTTCCTGTGAGTTGGACTGAGGAACAAATTTTCATCCGTGATAAGATCACATTGAATGCAGTCTTTCAAAGTGAGGGGTTTGATGATCAGCCGCCTTCTATGGGCCTCTTGAAGAGACAGTGTCTCTAGTGACAAACCGTGCATGTACTTGCCATTCTTGATAAGATCATTTTTCAAAGATTCTGCAAGAGTTAGTTTGCTGTCTGTCAATGCATCAACAATTTCTCTACAATCTGGCCTGATAACTTCATTTTCTAGAGCTCTGTCAAGAGGAAGTTTTTCACCGGTATTTCTATCCAAAACATTTCCCGTCTCATCATCTATAACTCCTAGTAGTAAGGCATCAGAGAGACTCGGGGGCCTTGGTCTTTCAGAGTTGGAAGATGTTCTTAGGTAGCCCAGCCTAAACGCATCTTCAAATTTCAGTACTTTTTCATCAACCCTGAACTGTCCTGTTTCTGAATCTAAAAATTTACTGTTCACAGCATCAGAAATGCTAATTCCTTTCAATACTTCTAGATTATTTACCTTTACTCTTTCCATGGGTCCTCGTTCCGCATCCAGAAGTTCCCTTTGGATAGCCTCAAGCAAAGTCAATTGTGGACCATCTCCGACGATTCCACATGGGCCTAATAATTTATCAGCTAAACTAGAATCAACTAAACCTTGTTTCACAGCCTTTTCAATTGGAATAGTTTCTAACTTATTATTTAATGACAAGGAAATCCTGCCAGTCCTAACATCTAAAATTCGTAACCTAATTGCATCACCAACAGTTAAAATTTGACCTGTGACAGGATGAACAATACCTGCACAGTCAATGATACTTAAATTTTCGGTTCCAATTCCCTCTTCTACTTTTTGAACTCGTTTCAGGGATCGAATTTCAGAAAATTGCATTGTACTAAGCCCGGCGTCGCCATTTAAATTTGAACTATTATTTACTACACTAGGTTGATTAGATTCTAAATTGTTGATATCCATAAATATCTTATTTGCAGGAGAGTTTTCTCGACTGGACGATCGCGTCAGTCGCACTGATGCAACAGATTTTGATATGTGGTTATTATCACAGTCAACTTCTTCCGAATCCAAGGTGCTGTTTGAGAGCCTGTTTGAAATCAAGAAGAAAATAAAAAAGCTTAAGGATACTGCAAGAAAATAAATTAAAAATAAAATTTTCATTTTAGCCTTGCTAAAAATCTAGATATTACCAATAATTTCACACGGAAGAGGACACAATGTGGATTGCCTAGACTTAAATAAAAATGCTAAAATAAATGTACTGCAAATCTATTAATTTAAAATATAATTTCTAGGTGACACTGTCAGGAGTTTCATTTTGCTCCTTGAATTTGGCTTAAGGAGAAATGGCTGGATTAATTTTCTCGAATTCTAGGAAAAATTGAAATAACTGAATTTTTCACATTTAAAGATCTGATTTTTCTGATATAAAGTATCATGGAATTATTATCCAAAGATATAGAGGAGAGATAAAGAAAATTCTGACCGAAAATAGATGGAGTTTGAGCCCTTCTAAAATTTTACTCTTGACCGATTCTCCGATTTGTTTAATAGTAATTAATTGCGAAGGAAGAAAACCATTAATTTGGCTGAACTTTGTATATGTTAGACGTCTGACCTCCTTGCTGAAAATTACTTTAGCACCTGGGCATAGAAGTTCTGAATATGGTGAGGGTTTAAGCCCCCCAAATCCCTCATTCTCACATGATTACATGATTGTTTGTAATTATCTTAGCTATTGGGAGGGGTTTGCTGGAGTAATTACTTTGAGTATTTGACATTTTGCAGATTTAACATTCTCGATAAAAAGTTTCCTCAGACTTGAATTTGAGAGATACCGCAAAATAAAAAGAAAGCACAAAAGAGAGAAAAAATAAACGTACCTTTGATTAGAATGTCTTTGATCATCAGTTGAAGCCGATTCATAGATATCAAACTCAGTTCTGTAAGTTCGCAAGGGTGTTGGCTCCATAGCTTCAATGAAAGCCTGAAGAAAGGGGGGAAAAAAAGAGTTCCCATTAAATACATGTTGATTACTGACCATCTTCTATAATCTCAGTAGAAAATAATTTTTATTTTTTTTCTCTGACACAAATACTGATAAAAATTTTGAAAAATTAAATGTACAGCATTAGGGTGCCCTGGGAATATTTAAAACAAAATTTCTTGAGCAAATTCGATAATTCGATTCTATTTTCAAGGAAACATTCTAAAATAAGTTGAAATTTCAATTTTTTTTATGCCATCCAGCACAAAAAAGTGTCCCACCTGTCACGCTAGTCTTTTGTTTCTAAAATGGCCAATTTTGCACCAAATTAAAATGTCTATTGAGGGTATGACACCCTTTACTCTTGATTTCAACATGCTAAAATGGCAGAGTTTAAACTGCACTGTATGAGAGACTTTTCAAAGTATCGATTGCCAAAAAAGGTGGTGCACCACTCGTCACAGCACTTTCATCAGAATTTTCACCTATCAAAATTTGCTGATATTGAAAAACAACTTGTCAACATGAAAGTACTAACTGAGCTTCTGCTGAGAGGCACAATACTTCAAAGTTTTAGTTAAAAAAGGGATAGAGAATTCTCTTAAAAGATGTACTAATATCTCACCTATTACTCCAAAATCCCCATTAATTAATTCTGATTATTTCATAACCTTTCAGTAAGAAAAAAGAAACATTCCTCTATTCAAAATAGTATAACACATGGATGACTATTTTGATTGAATGCATAGTATTCATCGTCAAACTGCAGATAGACCGGGGTTACAAAGCATGAAACTTTAAACTTATCTGTCAAATTTCTTTCCAAGAATTCCTATCATTTGAACAAAATTTCATGTTTCAATGATACATTTTTCTAAGCCTCATTTCATTCAGACTTAATTTATTTCCCCAATTTAGCATACTAAGCAGGTGCTTGGTAAAATCTTACCTCTAATTCCTTGTTATCGGGGAGATCAACCAGGAGCTGCTTCAGCCGGTCGTGGAGGATAGTGAGTAATGCTTGATACCTATGGTTTAAAATGTCGAGATCTCGAGCAACGGCCACTTCTCCACTGTTTGCTGAGGCAAAACGTGTGCGGCGCCACCGTGGTGACGAGGCGTCCATCGAAGGATGAACTTCATCGAGCAACCAATCACAGTAATGTTGAAGTCTTAAGTCGTATATCTGTCAAGTCATGGTTAGAGTGTCACAGTTAGTGGGTTAGCACTAATGCAATGCTTTAGAGTATTTGTTAACTAGGGACTAACATGCACAACAGATAACAGCAGGTCTTTCTACCCATTTACCTCTGAAAGCACTGACAGAAGTTGCATTTTCGAGATTGGGTTCCAGGCAAATGAAATATGGCTGGGTAACTTAAGTACCATGAGTACTTAAGTAGCATGAACAAGAAAAAATCTTTACTAGGTCCTTTGAAAGCAACCATAGAAGTGAGCTTAACAAAGGTTAGTGTATCAATGGATGGATCAACCCATTCACGAAAATGCACTTAAAATAAATCTACTGCCTTCAGCCGACTGGTGAGATACATTACAATTCATTATAAAAAATTAATTTCCCATGATCAAAATGTGTGTCACCAAAAGCTTTGTCTATACTCTTTTGTGCAACGGATCTTTTTGAAAAACGAGAACTAAGAAATGAGAAAGTTAAATAAAACGAGCGCGAATTCTTCATTCATTCACAGGGCAATATGTTCAACAACCTGCTTTAAGTAACTACTTAATAAGACTGATTTAAGCTAAAAAAAATACTTAAAAGAGAAATTTTACCATCATTGGCTTTTTACTTCCGTTAGATAAAATAATGGTAACATATAAATAACTTTATCATTGCACACCACAGACAGACAAAACTTTTAGATCAAGGGAAGTAACTAGAGAAAAGATTAAATATAATTTTGAGTACAAAGATACTTCCATTTTCAAAAGCTACAAATTATGGCAAGAGTTAGTAGAATGACTTCAATTTTCTTATTCTAACCAATGATGAATATTTTTGAGGACAACTGAATTTGTTTAAATGCAGAGAGGTCCAACACTAACTTAAATCTTTGGGAGAGAAAATCTTGAGTTTTGGACTTAAAGATGCTTCAAACTCTACATTGGAACTTTTCTTTGTAAGACTCACCATTACTGTCTGTCCAACCCTGAAGCAAGGTACAAGAAATGAGGATATTCTTTTTACACTATAAAAGGGAAAATATGATTTTCATACTAAACCTTAAAGGCATGGATATGCCTGACATTTGTATTAAAGTTTGACTTTTCATTACTTCAAAAATAAAAAACTTGGTTGAAAATAATGTGAAAAAAATGGGACTTACAGGTTACTCAAGCTTACGCAAAGCCTACTATGTGCCTGCTTTGATAAAGCATAATTATCACATGGACTCGCTAATGAGGGAGACAAGTAAGCGCTTACAGACAGTCTACACATTGATCTACCATGAGATTCCTTATGTTTTTTAAGTACACAAAGAAGACACTGATACGAGAAATCTGTGCAAAAATCATTTGATTATCGTACCTTTGCTTCACGAATAAACCTTCCACCATCGACATTTACTTGCTCCATCGATGGCTTTCTGTCAACAATTGATGTAAATAGGTTCTGTAAAAATTTGAATTTTCCTGGGTTAGTACAATTAGTAGAACCATGCAGATTGGTAACCATGTTGGTATCTCTTGGAAAATGAGGGCAGAGTGAGAGAGAATGAAATGAAATCGATCAAAAATGTTCACCAAAATATGACGGCTGGCTCCTTAAAATACTAAAAATTAATTTCTTCAAATTTTAGAGGATGATCCTTCTAGAATATCTACTTCTGAACAGAGAAACAAAAGCATTTGGTTTGAAATTGAATTTAACATAAGAGCGCGATCGAAAATTGTCGGGAAAAAGTGCGGATTTGAATATTAATTTACTTAACGAGCAACCCTTAGTAAAAATATCTAAAATGCAATATTTTAGTTTGTTGATGTTCATACCATTGCTATCACCATAATAAATGCAAAAATATAATCTAAAATGAAAGTAAAGATGCAGGTGTTAATTTTCAGTGCAAGTGAGAACCATTTTTTCTCCGCAATCTGGTTTCAATTGATGAAATTGTTAAGAGCTTATCATTTGCTTCCATAACTAAATACTACCTGTTGCGTCTATTCAATTTATCATGGTAGATGAGATCACCACCGAGAAAACTTTCATGAAAAGTTCGATTGCAGCTGAAAATGTGGAATGAGATAAACAAAAAAAAACCCCTGAAATTTAAAATAATATTAGAATGCCTGAAAAAATAACGAAATTCATTAATGTATGGAGATGTTGACTGAATGTTTCAGCCACCTACCTTGATCGGTTCGATTTGCTCAACTGCGGTTGTTTTGACAGGAGTTAGGTGATTTAATTTACCGTAACTATCATCAACAAAACTGACTTCAGTCTGATAACTATGAGTGAACTTCTGGAGTAATTCAACACCTGCTTCACAACTGTGCAGTCTAAATAAAAGAGAAATAGAAAAAAAAAGTTTTAAAATCAGAAAAAAATCAGAATCCAAAAAAGCAACAACGGAAAAACTATTGGATTTGAAGATGTGAAAACGATTTGAAGTTTAGCAGAAATCAATGAACTATCTACCTCTTCGTTCAGAGCACATTTTGACTGCGGTCTGACTTACATCTGAATTCAATATGAAGAAAAGAAAATACACGAACTCAGGAAATTGAGAATGCTTGAGAGACACAAAAAACCACTCAAAAAATAAGAGGGTTTTAGAATAGGAAAATGCTTGTTAGTGTCGGAGGTCAAGTTTTTAAAGACACTTCAAAAATTGAACAAGACATGTCATTTTCCATAACCAATAATTTGACATTGTAAAATTGCTGTGCTTTCGTTCTCACCAACTTCAGGCACTGATTTTTTGCATTTTGCTTTCAAATATTTACATTTTTCAGGCAATAGCCCTCCAATTTATGTAGAATTTGGCTGTAGGAAGAGCACCTAACAACAAAATGAAATCCACAAAATCAGATGGACAGCCGTTTCTTTTAGAATGGCTTAAAATTCGTATTTAAATGAAAATACTGAATTTTTCCTTTTTTGAGTGATTTATTCCAGCTGATATTTTATTAAACGCTGTATCAAAAACCCAGAAAATTGTTGAATAAGATGAAAAAATTTAAAATGTCTTGTGCCC